ACTACACATTCAAATTGGGTGAAAGTAGTTTCAAGTTTGAGTTTTTAAATTATTTTAAAATAAAAAACGAAATTAAAAAAAATAATGAATTACCAATTCAAATTGGGGAGTAGTTTCAAATTGGAGTTTTAAAATTATTTTAAAATTAAAAAAATGAAAAATCTATTTATATATAATATACATATAAAAAACGAAAATAATAAAATAAAATAAAAAACTATAAGGTTACTTTATTTGGATTAACAAATATAGATATCTTACAATTAAATATAATAAAAAAACAACGAAAAATAAATATATAAAAAATAACTACCCATTCAAATTGGGTGGGAGTAGTTTCAAGTTTGAGTTTTTAAATTATTTTAAAATAAAAACCAAAAAAAAATTACCAATAAAAAAACGAAAAAAGAGAAGAAAACTACCCATTCAAATCGGGAAGTAGTTTCAAGTTGGAGTTTTAAAATAATTTTAAAATAAAAAACAAAATTAAATAAAATAATGAATTACTAATTCAAATTGGGGAGTAGTTTCAAATTGGAGTTTTAAAATTATTTTAAAATAAAAGAACAAAAAATCTATTTATATATATAATATATAATATAATATAATATAATATATGTATAATATATATAATTGGAGAGTCAAAGAAATCTATATCATCTATATATATATAATAGGAGAGGCAAAGAAATGTTATAATGACAAGCGTCATAATTTCTATTAACAATATAATTATACTAAATATTGGATAATATAATAAATAAAAATACGTAACGAAAAAATTATTTGATGACTATATAAGTCCCTTTAATTTAATAGAGATTTTATTTATTAAAATTTAGAAAATATCTATTCTATTTATATAGAATAGGATAATCAAATAATTGTGATAATTCCAAATGTAACATCAAAAAATTAACAAAGTGACAAATATTTTTTTAATATTGACCGCGCATCGCGCGGGTACGACTACTAGTTATATTTAATAACATAGAAAAAGTACTTAAACTAAATAATAAATAATTGGTATGTTTAATAAAATTGGAGTTGAGATTTGCTCCAGTTTTCTTCAATTGAGTATTACACGTGTCCCACTTAAATATTAATGGAGAAGATAAGCATTTTTGTGTTAGGACAACTAGGTGCACAATGCATTCGCATTCACGCAGGGGACGCACAGCTTACCCTAATGCAGCATTAGGGGCTGCTTCCGCAGCTCGAACCCGTGACCTATAGATCACAAAGAGATAACTTTACCATTGCTCCAAAGCTCCCCTTCAAGCATTTTTCTGTTAAAATAGTTGAAGTAACTTTAAAGCAGTTTACAAAAAATATAATTTTAAAAGTAATTTTACACAAAAAGAACGAATGATAGAAAACAGAATGGAAAGAAAACTAAAAGTGATATGTTTTAAGAAGAGTGTTTTGGAAATTACAAAATATATATATGAATAATATTATAAAATATTTGGTCAAACCAAAAGTACTTATAAATTGCAAAATCATAAGTTAGGGACTACTATGTGACGACCGACGAATTTTAACTAATTTTAACTTACAAACACTTAGGCTTGCGCTTTTGATGTTTATCAAATGCGCAAATAAATCAAAAATAACTTATAAACTAATTTAACCAATTAATAAGCTTAGTCAAACATGCTCCTACTAAGATTTCTCTCTGCTCATTGCCGTGGATGACGTTGAATTATTAACGAACACTACACAACAGCTACTCGTGGGAAAAATAAAAAATAAAATAAAAAATTTACATTTTCAACTAGAACTAATTTACACAGTTTTCCTTGGTCGTCACAAACAATAAGAGAACCAGACCTCATAGTACTACTAGTTAGGAAATGTAACTCTAAACATTTTTATTTGTCTTCATTTTAAAATTTTCAAAATTATCACTTCTTTTTTGGTTTCTTTTATTCATCTAGTGGGAAAAATAACTACTTTAAATACCACATTTCAAATGTAGTGATATATTCCTAATATTAATAGCTGAAAGTAGAGCAATATTTTATACAAAAATTTCATTTTGAGTTCCTACTTGCATGTATTTCTATAATAAATATTATAGTATACTCAATGTCTTCAATATCATGAATTCATGATCTAAATCCGTACGTTGATTGGTGCAGCAGAAGTTAGAACTCCCGACAAGCGTGCCTCTATAACTTTTGAAACTTAAGGAAGCATGCATCACTATAAAACTGTCATATATGTATATATACACAGACACACAAACTTATCCATAACAACCTCAAATGTTCTGATATTGTTGGGTTGCTATAATGAAGCAGTGTTATATAGAACATATATTATAGCATAATATGAAAAATTGGTTTCAAACAAAACTTGACTGCTATAGTGAATTGTTGTTATAAAGAACGATTGTTATAGAGATGTCTCACTATATATATATATATATATACCCACGCGGTGTCCGGTACTCGCATTGGAGTACGACTATATCCGGATTCGAGCCGAGTAGGGCCCCATTCGGCGGGAAGCGCTCCCTACCAAGGATTTTTCCATACCCAGGGCTCGAACTCGAGACCTCTGGTTAAGGGAAGAACAGTCCCATCCACTGCACCCACATCCTTTGGTGGTAATATATATATATATATATATATATATACGCGCACATAAAGCTCAAAAACGACAAATATAATAAAACATAGCACTAAACTACTAATTACATGTTCTTGGCGATATTAAATAAATTTTTGTTAAAAATGTACCACTTTAGAGTTAATAAACTCAATTGCATCTTCGAAAGCTCTGATCTCCTCGTACTCATATTGTTTAGAAATCATTAATTCACCGATAAAAATTTATTCGCGCAGAGTGTTTACTCTAAATCATATCATGCTAAATTAATTTAATAAAGTGAAATAGATATTAGTAACACATGTCATGCATCTATTAAATTTGTACAAATATTCAATTCGAGTAAGTTTTTACCTTGACTCAAACTCATAGCTATTTATACAAATCGTACGAAACTTATAATTTGTTGATAAGATGGAGCCTGTTTGGAATAGCTGATACGTTTGAAGTGTTGAAAAATATTTTTAATTGCTAAAATTAATTTTTTTTAAAAGCATTTACATACTTGGATAAAAGTGCTGAAACTGATAATAAACAGTTAATGTATTTGCTAAAATAATGACGTGAAGTTGTTCTTTTGTCAAAATGACTAAAATACCCTTTAAAACATTACAAAATACTACTATAAATTAAAAGTTTCTTTGTAAAGAAAATGATGAATAATGAATATGGAATGGAGAGAAAGTTAGAAAATTTATTTTGGGAAAAGTATTTTGTGAATTAGAAAATATTATCAAGGATAAACTAGTAAAAGCCTTGGTTAAACTAAAAGTGCTTATAAGCTTAAAAGCAATAAGCTAGGGGTGACTAATTTATGATATGGCTGATTTAAACTTATAAGCACTTTGAATATTTATCAAATATGTAAATAAATCAAAAGGTGCTTACAAGTCAGTTTAATCAGCTTATAAGCTTAGCCAACCACCCTCGCAGTCTTCTACGTGATAGGTGTTAGTTTGATTTCCAATACCCCATTTCCAACTCTTTATTCAATCCGGGTGTGGTGAAAAAAGTTACTTACAGTAGAAATTCCTGTGCAATCATAATAATTTTAAAGTATTACTTATTCCATCTCAATTTATATAGTATATTTGATCAAATATAAAGTTTAAGATTTTTTTTTTAAATTTGTGATCTAAAATAACTTATAAGTATTTATAAGGTTATAAATTATTTTATTAAGGAGAAATTAGCAGTTTACAGAACAGAACAAACCCAGTATGATCCCAACAGATGGGGTCTGGGGAGGGTAGTCTATACGCAAACCTTACCCCTACCTAATGCAGGTAAAGGGGCTGTTTCCTTTAGACCCTCGGCTCAGAAAGGGTAAGAAGAATAAGAGGAAAGCAAGGAAGGAAGAAAGAAGGAAGAGAACAGAAAAAGAAAAGGGGAGAGATAAATGATAAGTAGTACCAAATAATAACAACAGGGAATACAATACCTGAGGCGAACAAAACCACATAACGTAATAACTAAGAATATGAAGGGACATGCATGCTACTAAGACTATCGGTGAACAACTAAAAACTACCCATTAACCTTCTACCTTAATCCTAGACCTCCACACCCTCATTTCAAGGGTCATGTCCTCAATGAGCTGGAGCAGCACATGTCCTGTCTAATCACCTCTCCCCAGTACTTCTTAGGCCTACCTCAACCTCTTCTCAAACTCTCCACGGCCAACTTCTCACACCTCCTGACAGGAGCATCAATGCTTCTTCTCTTAACATGTCCGAACCATCTCAGCCTCGACTCCCGCATCTTGTCCTCCACGGAGGCTACTCCCACTCTGTTCTGGATAGCTTCATTCTTAATCCTATCTCTCATGGTACACCCACACATCCATCTCAACATCCTCATCTCTGCTACTTTAATCTTCTGCACGTGGGAGTTCTTGACTAGCCAACACTCAGCCCCATACAACATAGTCGGTCGAACCACCACTCTATAAAACTTACCCTTAAGTCTTGACAATACATTCTTATCACACAAAACACCGGAAGCGAGCCGCCACGTCATCCATCCCGCTCCGATGCGATGTGCGACATCTTCGTCAATCTCCCAGTTACCCTGGATAATAGACCCAAGATACTTAAAACTCGCTCTCTTGGGGATAACTTGAGCATCAAGCTTAACCTCTACGTCTGCTGGGTCCCGTCACTGAATTTGCACTCCAAGTATTCTGTCTTGATTCTACTCAGTTTGAAACCTTTAGACCCCAAGGTCTGTCTCCAAACCTCCAACCTCGCGTTAACTCCGCTTCGTGTCTCGTCAATCAACAGTATATCATCAGCAAATAGCATGCACTAAGTCACCTCCCCTTGGATGTGTCGCGATAGTACATCCATCGCCAAGGTAAATAAAAATGGGCTAAGAGTCAATCCTTAGTGCAACCCCATCACCACAGGGAAATGCTCTGAGTCACCACCCACAGTCCTCACCTGAGTCTTAATATCATCATACATATCCTTAATCACCCTAACGTACGCTACCGGAATGCCTCTAACCTCTAAATACCTCCACAGGACCTTCCTTGGGACTTTATCATACGCTTTCTCAAGGTCAATAAACACCATATGCAAATCCTTCTTCCTCTCCTTGTACTGCTCAACTAATCTCCTTACTAGATGAATCGCTTCCGTAGTCGAACGCCCCGCATGAATCCAAACTTATTCTCGGAAATAGACACGCACCTCTTCACCCTGGCCTCCACCACCCTCTCCCAAACCTTCATAGTGTGACTCAACAGCTTGATACCCCTATAATTATTGCAATTTTGTATATCACCCTTGTTCTTGTAAAGCAGAACCATCGTACTCCACCTCCATTCTTCGGGAATCTTCTTTGTCTTAAAAATAACATTAAACAGCCCAACGAGCCACTCCAAACCTGCTCGCCCCGCGCTCTTCCAAAATTCCACCTGGATTTCGTCTAGCCCCATCGCTCTGCCCCTGCGCATCTTACGCATCGCCCCTTCCACCTCCTCTACCGTAATCCGCCTACAGTACCTAGAATCCCGCCGACTCTCGGAGTACTCCAACTCACCCAACACAATGCGTCTATCCCCTTCCTCGTTTAATAGTCTATGGAAGTATGTCTGTCATCTTCTCCTAATAAGTGCCTCCTCCATCAACACTTTGCCATCCTCGTCCTTGATGCACTTGACTTGGTCTAAGTCGCGGGCTTTCCTCTCCCTCACCTTGGCCAACCGGTAAAACTTCTTATCCCCGCATTTGCCCTCGAGCTCCTCGTACAAACGAGCAAATGCCCATTCTTAGCCGTCGTAACTGCTAACTTCGCCTCTTTCTTTACCTTTTTGTAACAATCTCGATAAGACCTTTTTTCCTCCTCGTTTGTACTCTCCACTAGCTTCAAATAAGCAGCTTTCTTAGCTTCCACTTTACCTTGAACCTCTCAATTCCACCACCAGTCCCCTTTATGACCCCCGGGAGAGCCCTTCGTGACCCCTAAGACCTCTCTAGCAGCTACCCTAATGCAATTCGCAGTCGTGAACCACATACTAGACGCGTCCCCCTACTCATCCAGGCCCTCATAGCCAACAACTTTGCCCCTAACTTCTGAGCTTTGTACTCGGTCAAGTTACTCCACTTGATCTTAGGTGGCCTGCACCCTGCCCTCTTCCTCCTACTCCTCTTGATCTCCAGGTCCATAACTAGGAGCCTATGTAGGGTCATGAGGTGCTCACTTGGGATGACCTTGCAGTCAGTGCATAGACCTTTATCGCATTTCCTATAGAGAAGATAATCAATCTGAGTCTTGCTCATTGAATTCCGGAAAGTGAACAGGTGCTCTTTCCTCTTCGGAAAACTCGAGTTAGCTATAACAAATCAAAAGCTCTAGCAAAATCCAACAGTGAATTACCTCCCTTAGTCCTATCCCCAAAACCAAACCCGCCATGCACATCATCATAATCCCTAACACTAGCCCCAATATGGCTATTGAAATCTCCGCCAATGAATAGCTTATCTGTGTGCGGGATACTACGCACCATCTCGTCCAAATCCTCCCAGAATTGCTTCTTGACCTCTTGGTCCAAACCTACCTCAGAATCGTATGCACTAATCACGTTTACAGTAAACCCACCAACTACCAGATTAATACTCATCAACCTATCATTTACCCTCCTAACCTCGACCACGAGCTCCCTGTCAACTAAAATACCTACGCCATTCTTACCCTCAGCGCTTTCTGAGTACCATAGTTTAAACACGTCTACGTCTCGTGCCCTAGTACCCTTCCATCAGTCTCCTGAACACACGCTATGTTGATATTCCTCTTATGAGAAATGAGCGGTTTAAAATTAAATATTTTTATACAAAGATTAACTCTTAAAAAAAATTGTAGCACATAATATTGGTTCAATAAATAACACAGAGAAATGAGAGTACGTTGCTTTAAGCATAAGCCGCCAACAACCGCTAAGCACTGTGTCATCGTTTGTTAATTGCAGCCAAATCCAGTACTTGCACCACACGCTTCACAGGCGCGTAAAAACCAACATCGTCACCGTTAACCGATTTAAAATTTCCGATATCCTCTCTCTCTCTCTCTTCACTCTAACCTCCACCAACCTTGCCGATCTATTCTCTCTCCTCTCTCTCATTTCTTCGCCTGGCTTTGCGCCTTCATCCATGGGCACTACTATTTCAGTTCAATGCTTACTCACTGTACTAGTACAGTTACTACTACTATCAGTCTTCAGATCAGTAGAATCCTCAATTCACATCTACGACAGGGATCCGTTTAGAGAAGTCGGAAATGCTTACCTTGTCTCCGGCGGCAGTGAAGGCGTCGCCGCCTCCCGCTTCATTCCTCCGCCGCGTCGCGCATTTCGATCCTCTGCCCACGACGGACTGTCTTATATCAGGTAGCCAGTAACTGCAGATTAGTTGAGCTCGGTCACCATTTTTTATTAAAGAATATCTAAAGAAAAATTTAAAATAATGTATACTAAGAGGAATATTGCACTGTTTTAAGTCCTGGATCCACCTTTGTAGCTGGTTGATTCATAATCGCAAATGTATATAGTATGTTATATACTCTGTAACTACTGACCTGGTTGATATATAGTCAGTGGCGGAGCTAGTACTTTCACTAAGGGGAGTCAAAATATAAAGAAGTAAACACATGAAAAAACCAGAGGATTCAACATATAGTATATATACATTAAGAAAAAATTGACCTATCTACTTAGTGTAACTTTATGGCGAAGACGTGTCAATTGACTCCCCTTGGACAAGAGTAGCTCTGCCCTTGTACATTGTTGTAATGTATATATGTTAGGTACATCGTAACCACTGACTTTAAATCCTAGATCCACCTCCGGTAGCTGGTTGATAAGTGATTGCTGGTTTATGTATGTATATGAGAGATTTCCAGTAAATATTATGGAAAAAATGGTCAGATCTAAACTGATATTTGGTCTGCATGTTTTTTTATCAAATTTCCTGATGATCTATTGTGATGTTGGAGCGATTTAAGGAATGAAACTGAAAGATGACTTTTTGAGTTGTCATGCTGAAGGCACAATCTTGCAAATACAAAACTCCAAGAGATGCCATATCAAACAAGCTGGTCCCGTGGTGCCAGGATTTCTCTCCTTGAATCTGAAGTTGGGAGGTTGAGTCAAGTTTAGAGTTAATTCAAAATTGTTTTGAGCAAATTAGCTACTCCCTCTGTCCCGAAAAGAATGACATGAAAAGGAGTATGAGAGTCCCAAAAGAATGTATAAGAGTCAAGACATACACATTTTTGGTGTGAATTCAGATGTTAATTCCCCCGCACACAAAAAAAAATCACTAATTAGAAGCTATATAAAAGTACTAGAAATCACAGATCTCTATAAATCACAAATCTCTATAGTTAAAATATTTAGAAATGTCTAAAACATCATAATCAAATGTAGAAATTGTTTGGTTCCTAAATAGTAGGAGTGCCTTATAATATGGGACACAGAGAGTATCTTATTTTAAAGTTAGCTATGGGCTAGTTATTGAAGTTGTTTGACTGGATTGATCAGTGCTATATTAGTAATGCAGGCCTAATATAATGGCTTGAGTGGGAAAGCTATGCTGTCAACGGGAAATATGATACAATACAGTAGAATGGTTTTTCTAAAATATATGTCTGAGAGCAAGCTGAACATAGTGAACTGCACCAGCTTTCTGTGATTAGATTGTGGGAAAACTAAAACAAGCCACAGTAATCACTGTTAGTTTTTTTGGCTCAGTGACATTGTTTGTAACCTATTGCTTTAGTATCTGATAATTTGAACATATATAGGTTTGATAATATCACATTTTGGAGGAGCAAAGCAGCTGCAAACCGAAATCCAACTATGGCATATAATAGTGGGTTAGTTCAGATCATAATATTTGAGGCTGCAGACCGTGACAATATTGGTGGTTCACCATATGGTGGACAAAGGTCCATTTGTTGCACTGCTGATCTTGCTAAACTTGAAGGTTGCAAACAAGGGGAAGTCATTAGAACACCTTCAGCAACAGATGCTAATTGGCCGATGGTGTTGAATGTTAACTTTAGAGGAAGGCAGTTATCAGCCCAATTGAAGAAGAAGGAGGTTTACATAAAAAAGACTGGGATGTATAACCTCTTCTTCATCTCATGTGATCCTAAGCTTAAGGGAATGAAGGTGTCTGGAAGGACAGTGTGGAAAAATCCCGAGGGATATTTGCCTGGTCGAATGTCACCCCTAATGAAGTTTTATGCTATAATGACCGTAGCATATATACTTCTCGCTGGAATCTGGTGTCTTCAGTATGTCAGATACCGGCAGGACGTTCTGCCGCTCCAATACTGCATCACTGGGGTTATTGCCCTTGGGTTATTGGAGATGATATTTTGGTACTTTGATTATGCTTATTTCAACAACACTGGTACAAGGCCTGTGGGACTCACGACTTGGGTTGTTATAATTGGAGCTATAAGGAGAACTTTTTCACGCCTTCTTATTCTTTCTATCTCAATGGGTTATGGTGTTGTTCGTCCTACCCTTGGTGGTCTCACCACAAAGGTGCTCCTTCTTGGAATAACTTATTTTGTGGCATCTATACTGCTAAACATTACCGAATACGTTGGTACAATAAATGACATTGCAGGGCGAGCAAGAGTCCTGCTGGTCCTTCCTGTTGCATTGTTAGATGCATTTTTGATCTTATGGATTTTCACTTCTCTTTCCAAGACACTGGAGCAGCTGCAGGTATCATCTTACTGTTTGTATTGAATTTGTGTACACATACATTTTGCATTTGTTTCATCTCCTTTTTCTCATAAAATATCTGATTCTCACAAGATTTTGTTTTCGTCAGGCAAAGAGGAGTTCTGTGAAGTTGGATATTTACAGACAATTTTCAAATGCATTAGCAATCACTGTCATTGCTTCAGTTGCATGGATAGGATACGAGGTTTGTATTTGATGCATGAACTTTATTAGTTAAATCAATAGGGTCTGTTTAATTTTGATCGCCATGAGGCTTGTTCCACAATTTTTTTGTCTTTTCTGAAGAGTAACTTGTCACAATTTGGTAAACTTGTTTCTTAATGCTTTAAAGTGGCTTGACATGTGCACATATATATATATATACCCTTGAAAGACTTTCATGGATTGAGGTGCGGTCCACTGCGATGAGGAGTTTAATAGGTATAGAAATTGGCTCTATTGTGTTTTCCTTGCTTAAAAGGGTCGCTAAATGTCTTGCTGCAAATAAACTACTATCACAAAATAAGGAAAAGTATTTTAAAAAGTTCCTGAAGATATTACTACATAGGGAGAAAAACATCTACTGAATTCTCTTAGAGTTTTTTGCATTCTGCAACCCAAATATTTGCACCCGCTGCACTTTTACCTCCTATTCTCGTTTTTCATTCCATTTTCCCATAACCTCTTTTTGCTTGCAAAACCACGATTATGTTATATATCTGCTCAAAATGTTGACAAGATTAACGTGGAAATACTACCCCAGAAAACTAGTTTCACCACATCTATACCCAGATCATCATCTGTTCTCTCCGCGATTACCCTTCACTGCATTCAAGATCCAATTGGGAGAAAAGAGATAGAAGACATGGATTACTTTTGAGATGCTATTAGAGTTACGGAGAATGATATTTGTTTTTGGATTACTGACCCTTCTTGTCTTTGGGAAATTTTTACATGTCAAAACCTACCATTTAGTAGTTGTGCGACAAAATAAAGAGGGTGTGATATTGTTAAAAAAAGGACAAATGATTTTGTGAAAAGTACAAAAACGAGTGCATACCTTTAGGGTGGGATCTCGTTCACTAGAAATATGTGATATCACAACACTCATCAATGTTTCTCTTTGTCCGGGAATGATTTTAGATTTAAGTAATAAATGAAGTGTATGGTTAATGCTTAAAAAAACTTAGAGATTGTTCTTACTCCTGACTAATCAGACTACCGCTTCTCTGCTGCGACCTCCTGAAATCATCAAGTCAGTATTTTCATGAAATCGAGAAGAATATTAATGACACTTCTCTGCTGTGATTTCCTGAAAATATCAAATTGATATTTTTCGTGAAATCGAAATATTAATGACATATGTCTTGTGACTTTTTAAAATAAATAAATAAATAACTCTTAAGACTCGTTCATTTCTTCTCTGCTTATTTCTGTGAGTTACAAATACAGCAGGAGCAAACTCCTTGCGCTGCGTCACTGTCTGTGCATCCTCTAGTTTCATTCCTTATCCAAAATTGAGCACAAAGAAGTCGTAAAAGTTTTCTCGTCTATGCAAATGCTGTTTCTGTTTCTGGCATCTGTTCACAGAGGTGAATGATGTATATGTTTGAGGAAAAGACCTCGTGAAATTGAACAAATGTTACATTCCAATAACACATCACTGATAATCCATCTAGAAATATAAACTGACATAATTAAGTAAATAAAAATATGCTCTCTCTAAAAGTTTAAGTTTTTAGATGAGATGGTCACACACTTCAACATAGATGAGAGCTAGGCCCATCACAATTCTTGGTTATGAGATGTTCGGCCCGCATATTATGTTGTCCGCGCTCCAATTGGTAGGGTTGGGCGCTGAGGGGGGGGGGGGTTGTGGAGTTCCC